AATTGCCAAAAACTCTAAAGGCACAGTAAAACACGCCTAACGTTAATGCAACAGCAAACCCCCTTTTATCTTCCTTAGGGCACGCAGGAGTCCCTTCCTGTCTTCAGGGCTGGAAGCGCTTACAAATGCCCATCACAGGCAGCAAGACCACTTGGCTTCTGTGAGAGCTTCCACGCGGAAGGAAGAGGTGTGTGTTCTCTCAAACGCGCGATGTTCGCTCGGGTCTTGCGCATGCAGCAGCCACATGCTCTTCCCGGTACGGCCCTGGACTTGCCACGGTGACCTGCCCTCTGGGACGGGCCTCTCACGTCCTTTTCAGAATGCCACTGATACATGCTGGTCAAGTGTCTGCTCAGAAGGCTGAAGACCCTCAGTGAGGATGCCAGCCGCCCTCCTGTGCCAGGTCCCCTTACTCAGCCAGAGGCACAGCCTGTGAGGAGCTCACAGCGTCGTCCACGTATGGAGGGGGGGGAACTGAGGCGCCGAAAGGCTACGCCCGGGAATCCACCAGGTGAGGAAGAATCTGAGTCCAGGAGGCTCCCCCGAGCCCTGCAGCGCCGCAGGGTCCCGTCCTCACCCTCACCCCTGGGGCCTACCGTCCCCCCACCTCCCAGCAACCTCTAGCTGAGAAGGAACAGGTACGCCCATCAACGCTGTGAGCTCTACACAGGAAACACGCTGGCCAAGTGGAACGGGACCGAGTTACGGGAGCCCTCTCTGCACCAACGTCCAGCACCTTCTCCCGGGAGCTTTGGACGTGTCACGGTTCACGTGGCAGGGTGAGCAGTGAGGATGCACACTGCAGACGAGGCAGGAAGGACTGGCCTGACCCCTCTACAGGTCCTGCAGGACTTGGGGACACCAGTGCCGGGCCGCCCCAACTCCCGCACCCGTGGAGCTGGGGGCGCCAGTTCCGTGTTCACAGCCTGGGGACCCCAGGGCCGCCGCCCTCTGACCCCCGAGCGCGCAGGGCAGGTGCTCAGGCCCGGACCCGTGGGCTGGGGAACAGGTTAGGGGCAGAGGGCCAGGGCCACGAGAATGCCAGTGGGGACCACCCGTTAGTGCCACGCGGCAAACCCCGGCTGCCGCCCCCTCCGTCTGGAAGCTGCAAACACAGCTACTGTGAGGCAAACCAACGCATGCTGGCGGCGGCGACCACTGCACCTCACTCAAATGCTTCCTCAGCCTCCAGGCCTGAGGAGCTCTGCGGGGCCCAGGCAGCAGGCAGGGCAAACGCTGTCTCTGGAGGAGCACGGGGCAGGGGGGCTCGTTGCCATGCTTTACAGGCACAGGCAGAGAACACGGGCCTGTTCCCTTCTTGAGAATGTGCTTCCTTACACTTCCCCCACAGGGGCTGACTCAGGGCATCATGGAGCAGCACCCTCACACAAAGCCAACCAACAGCACCCCAGGCCCTGGCTCCCGCCCGCCCCAGGGCTGTGCTCCCACCCACACCACCCCCTCCTGTCCCTGAGGATGGGAAAACAGGTCTGGTGGTTCCCTTGATCGGGGCTCTGCTCAGTGGGGAGAAGGCTTTCAGTGACAGCTGCCTAGGACAGTCAATTAGCCAAGGCGGGGCTTGGCATCCACAAGCCATTTGCAGTTGGGCAACAGGTAATGTTAAAAATGGCCAGTTTACCATCCTTACCAACTTAGCCCCCATTCTTTAAGACAAAGTCCAGGTCTGAGAGAGCATATGGCAACCACACCCAACCTAGATGGCCATCCCTCACCTCTGTGCCCCCGACCCCCCAGCCCTGGAGGACAAAGGGGCCCCTGGCTCAGACCCCAGGCATGGCACCTGCCCTCGCGGCTCCCACCTTCCTAGCCTGGACCTGCACTGGCAGACAGCCCAGGTGCCCAAATGTCTACCAGCTCCACCCCACTCCCACAGCGCCTGTCTCCCCACTGCACAGCGTGCTGGGGGCACTGACACGAGACGCTGTGCCCACCCTCTAGCCAAGAACACGGATTAAGAAAAGCAACACAAGCAGTAACAATAACACTTACATTTATTAAGCAACCACGTGTGCCAAGCAACAAGGAGGGGTCTGCATACCAGCCAAGCCCCGGTGTGCAGGGCCTCCTCCAGTGTGCCCAAGCCCAGCCACATGGCCCACAGAGGTGACCACAATCCCACCCCTCCTGCGGCAGTAGGGGCACAGCTCTGGCCAGCGGGGAATCCCTGGTCCCCAACCAGGGGAGAGTGGCCAGGGCGGCTCCCAGCCTGCAGGCCACCTAGCCGGGTACAGGGACCAATGGAGTTTGCTGGGATACACCGCCCATCTCCACCTCAGGGGCCCTGGCAAAGTCACATTCCCTGTGGTTCTCACAGAAGGGCAGTTCTGCCTATGTCTCCCACGCACCGAAACGGTGTTTGCTCACTATGAGAGAAACCACGTCGGCACACAGCCCCAGCTCCCCAAAGCAGGCTGGCTCTCCCAGCCCTTCCCGTTTTGGTCCCGTGATCTGCTCCATGCAGACCACCGGTGAGACCACCCTTAACTCCTTCAATCTTCCATACCCTTCTACGCAGGCCACGTGTGGAACCACCTGCAATTCCCTTGATCTTCTAGACCCTTCCTACCCTTGCACCTTGGTTTTCCTTCTCTAGAACACCCCTACCCCACACGCTCTGTTATGGGTTACATTGTGTTTTTCAAGATATCATGTTCCAGTCTTAATCCCCAGTACCTGCGAATGTGGCCTTATTTGGAGATAATGGTCTTCGCAGATATGATCAAGTTAAGGTGAGATCAGACTGAAGAAAAGTGGGCCCTAAACACTCTGGCTAGCATCCTTGAGAAGAGAGGGGAAATTTGGACACAGAGGAGACCACCACAGGAAGACCAAAGCAGAGATAGGGGTGATGCGTCTACAAGCCAGGAGCACCAGGAGTTCAGAGAAAAAATATATAGCAGATCCTCTCTGAGAGCCCCAGAAAGTCACCAACCCCGCCAACACCTTAATTTTGGACATCTGGCCTCCATGCTGTGAGAAAATAAATTTCCGCTGTTTTAAACCACCAAGTTTACTGTGACATTATGGCAGCCATAGAAAACGCACACATCTGCCTTTCCCAGACACTTCCACTGACAAGACCACTATCGTAGATGCTCTAGTACATACTGAGCACCAACTGTGCCAGGCATTGTGCCAGGAAAAGCATGCAACAAAGCATAAGTCAGTGACTCGCAAACTTAGGAGCCCAGGCAATTTGTCAAAATGCGACACTCGTCACGTTACTGTCAAGAGCATGAGGGAGGGAACACCTGAGTGGACCTTAAAGGCTGAGGAGACAAACTTCTGCTCAAATATACCCTAAGGACAAGTTGTATACTTCCCGCTGCCACTACCAAGCTAGCTCCCAAGGAACCCCTGGTTTCTCTCAACCCTCTAAGCATGAGTGTAAGACATGGACCTCTGAGCCCCCCCTAGACTGCCAACAAGAGCCCTGGCTACAACCACGCGCTGCCAACACACCAAGGCAAGTACAGGGACCGCTAACCCCATCAGGTCAAATCAGATGAGCGCCTGAACCGAAGACCCATTTTCAATGGTCGGCAGGTTTCCCTCTTTCTGACCTGTTGTCTGGGAGCAGTGCTCTGACACACACACTTCTGCTTGGAGACTTTGGAGAGCGATCCTAGAGGGTGAGTGCAAAGTACAAATAACTAAACGACTGTTGGACCAAAGGTAGCTTCGGGAACAGTCACTGTGCTCATCACACTGAGCTCCAAAAAGCCAAGGTGCCAGGGGACCCCCTTGGATTGCCAAAGTGTGCCTCTGAGCCGGATCGCCTGACCCTCTGCCTAGCCAAGCATTCCCGGATCAGCAGTCTTGGCTCCAGAAGACCACTGGGCTTGTCTCCCGGCAAAGCACTTAGCTTCGCTATATCTCAGTTTCCTTGTCTATAAAACAGAGATGATGGTAACTGCCACAAAAAATTAAATGAGTTAAGATCTGCAAAGCCCTCGAGCAGTGCCGTGCGCAGAGCACACCACTTAAGAGTTCGCTATACAGAAAACATGGTTCACTTCTCCGTCCATGTTTCTGCCTCTCTTAGGTCCTCTCTTCACAGTTTACAGCTTACTGAGGTTCATTGTTAAATACCAACCGCACCAAACGTAGTCTCCAAACAGAGAAGAGACTGAGGACAAAGCACACAAGGTCCTAGCGGGCCATTAAGGAAGGGGGGCCCGCGGTCATCAAGGTGACCCCCCGGGGGGGGGGGGGAGAAGCTAGTGGGAACCAGGGCGCATCGCGACCCAAGAATCCGGAGGGCGAAGGAGAAATCAGGGCAGCTACCGAAGACGATGGGAAAATTCAAACGGGAATGGCTAACACCAATTTCCTTCTGAACGTCTTCTACGGAGAAACAGAAGAAAATTTAAAATCTCGACTGGAAAGCGTCAGGCTCTTGTGAAAGATGCCCCCACACCCCTGTGAGAGTTATCTCGGTCGAGCCACAAGGCCAAACTTACAGGACGCGGGGAAAGGCTGTAAAGCGAATCGGTAAAGTTTCTGT